TACAATAATCTATAATTGCTGTATACGAATATATATATATATACATATAATTATATACACGTTAGTAAGTTAGAAAATATTAATTTTGTCTATTATCGATTACAGTAAGATAGAGTATGTGTATGTATTTCACATTGTATAATTAATTGTATTATTATTACACATGTGTAAGTAATATTCCTGTAATGTAGAAGACGCGAGTATATGTACGTATATAGATACATACCATTGGAACAATTAACTCCTGTCCATTGAGCCATACATATACAATTATACCCCATATTATTATTATTCATACAAGTTCCGTTATTATCGCATGGGTTCATACTACAATAATCTTGTATTACTATAATGAATTTATTGAATAATAAAAAATAGCATTAGCAGTTGTAAATTAATTTAATTCTATTCTGAGTCGAAGTTTAGTTATATCGTATTAACACACTAAAAAGTTATTAAACATATTTAGAGTGTTTATATATTAAGACGCGATAATAAGATAAACAGATGATCATTTTCGTATTCGTATACATCTACAATTATTAATGTTTATTCTTAAATATATTTATACCTTGATCACAATTCTGTCCTGTATATCCTGAATAGCATGAGCATGTATGTCCACTTGCAGTTAATCGGCATTTTCCATTTACACATGGATTAGCGGTAATACACACACTGGGATCTATAAACAATATACCATATGTAAGTAGTAAAATCACTTGTATGTTATTCTGAAACCAATGAGGAAAGAGTCTTTGTATATCGAATAATATTCTTGATGTATAATAAACTAATATACAGCATTAGTAACTCTTAATTTACTAATATATCTGAATTTGTAATACTTATTTACAAGTACTCGTATTAGTTTCAATCGTTACAATCTTGAACAATAATAATTATAATAGATCGAACAGTAATATACTCATAATCTATGTTAAGAAATTCTTTTGTAAGATATTGACTATATATAAAATATCTAATAAATAAATTAATTACATAATAAAGTTACGGATAGTTCGAGTAGTAAAACAGTTACGGATTTATCTAAAATACGGAAATAAAATGTAGCATTTAACTAGTTGTATATCGTATACTGACTTAAGTATCGATTTATAAATTTAGTAAATAAATGATAATATATAGCTATTGCATAACAGTTATTGTACATTACAAAAACAGTATGTGTAAAGTATTCGTAAGCTGCCATATAGAAAAGTATCATACACGTTTACATATTGTATAATGATAGATTAAATTTATTGATTACGATCAATTACGAAATTACCTTGACATTCAACACCAATATCTTCTTTGTGGTCACAATCTGTGTTACTCCAACCCTTATTACCGCAATCTAGAATATTATATTCGTTCCCACTACATGATATTCCTTCTAACCAGATTGGCCCTGTCCCTTGACCTCCGAGATTCCCACAACATTGATATTTGACGAATCCTGTATATCCAAGTTGACGGCATGCGACACGTCCATCGCTTACACCGAAACCATCATGACATATCGTACCCCATTGATTATTATGATAAATTTCTAATCGTCCTTTATTGCTAGTAGAACCGCCAACTAATCTTAAATCGCCTTCTTCCCATATAGGTACAGCTACATAGATTTAATTTGATTTCATGTATAGGTACGTTTACCGGTATACATACAGTAAATGAAATCAGTCTTCAATTGTAAATAATAAATGTTATAGTACTATAGTTGTCATTGTTACCTTGTGTACAGTTGATGCCATTCCAAACTGCAGTACAACTACAA